ATATGAACTACACACAGAAAGAAAAATTTATTTAGAGAATAAAATTCTTGGCTCAAGAAAATTTTCGGTAGTCTGAAGGAAGACCGAAGTTGTGGTCGAAGTAAAATTTTTCTTAAAATTCTATTCTTGGTGGAAATTTTTTCTTAATTCTATCATAAATACTTGATACAATAAATTTTTATATTTGATCAAGATTTTTAGATACTTTAGGAAAGCAGCGCCACCTACTTCAGCTGCGAAAAAAATTTTCTCACCTTGAGAAAATTTTTCTCTTGAATATTTGATACCCATTTTATATTATTCAAGCGTGCAATTATACATATTGAATGGAAAAAAATGATTCAATATTATTTGATCTTTCCATTTGACATGTTAATCAATAAAAATATTAATGAAAATTTACTTCTATCTTTATATTTAATTTTTTGGAGCAAGAGAGAAATTTTCTCAAGACAAGAAAATTTACTTCTATCAAGAACTAAATTTTTTGGAGCTTCGAGGCTGAATTTTCTCAAAACAAGATTTTCTTGGCTTAAATAAATTTTCTTGGATCAAGATACGTATTTCTTAAAGCAAGAGAATTAATTTAGTTTGAATAAGTGAAATTTCTTGTCAAAAAAAATTTTTTTTTGCTCAAGAAAATAATTGGGAAGAAAATTATTTTCTTGGCTCAAGTGAACCTTTTTTTCTGTGTACAATTTATTATTACAATTATATTTAATATTACAATTTATTATTAAAATATAATAATTAAAAATTTTGACTTTGATATTTATAATTTCGTACCTAAAAAATGATCGCATGATATGTAAAAAATATAAACTACAGTTACTAAAATTTCTTTACAAGTAACGTTAATATTTACAAAGTATGAATGGTAAATTTTAAACACAACGCTAAAAATCAAACTATAATTATTGATTTGCTTGGACTGGTAAATATATATATTTTAACAGTAGAATTTTTACTGTTTCAAATGTTAAATTCTCCAAGTGTGATACCTTCCCCTTCTCCTCATAGTATAGACTATAAATTAAAACGGCAATTTTTACTGTTTGAAACTGCAATTTTTTAAGATGAGAGAGTCGTTATTTACTATAGTGACAGCTAATAATCACATTTTTTATATTAAATTATAAATTGTGGCTTTTACACTTTCTACATTAAGTTTTGTAATATTTACATTTGTGCCACCCCGATGTCCGCTGTACTGTTTGAAACTATAAAAATTACCGAAATCCGAGTGAATTTTAGTTTACTTTTTTTCCAAGTAAAGTTTGTGCTGATGTTAATGTTCACCTCAATCAATACCGATAAATCAAGGGTAAAGTTTATGCTCATTATTTTTTCGGTCATTAAACAAACGTACGTATCGTGTTTAATGCTCAGCATTATCAGTTTTCGATGATGACCCGGTCAGAAGGATACTGAATAAGACTTTAAAATTTAACATTTTATATCTAAATTTTCAATCTTAATACTCAATACTAAAATCCACCTTTTTCTTCACTGCTGTCCTATATAACAAGATAAGTTACAAGTAAGTGGAAAATAATTAATAGTATAAATATGAATATTTAGCACCTGATCACCCGTCGTCGCTTAATAATACATAACATTTATGTTATTGATTAGTACATTTTGTACTGTGTGTTCAATTTTTAGAATATTATCACAATATTTCAAAAAAATTATTCACAATCACGCCCGCTAAGTTAAGTACTTTTGATTAAATTATTCATTAATAAAGTAATAAACCGCGTGACAATGTATCATATCAACAATAGCTTTGATCTTGGAATTTAAAAGACATCTTATGTATCTTGACATAATTTAGCTGTCACATTAATCATAATTATTGCATGTAATAAAATTTATTTTACTAATAAATAAATAAATAAATAAATAAAGCGACAGTTTTCTGTCGTACCGATTTAGTAAGACATAGGCAAGCAGATGGCAGTATCAGACACTAGTCCTTCAGAGAAGGGCAATGTAAGAAAATCCCTGGTATGCAAGCACCCGATGCAAGCAATTTTTTTTTAATTTATTTTCATTTTTTTTTTTCAATCTTCCAGTCTTGCGAGACACGAACCGGCTAAGTAAAAGTATGAATTACTCAGCTAAGTTTCCTACAGGTTTCTGTTTATCACAGCGGCTGTAATTTATATTCAAAAAAATACTCCGATGTACAATAAAGAAAATATTAATTTAAATAATAATATAGTAAAATAAAAATAAAATTTTAATTTTTTATAGAAAGTAAATAAATAATTAATGCATAATTGTAAGCATGATTTTAAACTTTTAAATGATGTCATTCATCAAGGTTGTCAATGAAATAAAGTATCATAGCTACTTGTTGGTATTTGATAACAATATATACATGTCTACATATTTATATTATAATACATATGTATATAATATAAACTTCTCGGTTTACTCTGAAGAATAATTTACAAAACCAATCCTAACCAGTCTCAACCCAGTCAGTCTAGTCCACACGTGTAACTATCAATATTGATATTAATAATAATATATCTAAAAAAATTTCTGGACAGAAGAAAAGGTTTTGAGCCAAGAAAATTTTTTTCTCAACTGAAGTAGGTGGCGCTGCTTCCCTAAAGTATCTAAAAATCTTGATCAAATATAAAAATTTATTGTATCAAGTATTTATGATAGAATTAAGAAAAAATTTCCACCAAGAATAGAATTTTAAGAAAAATTTTACTTCGACCACAACTTCGGTCTTCCTTCAGACTACCGAAAATTTTCTTGAGCCAAGAATTTTATTCTCTAAAGAAATTTTTCTTTCTGTGTGTAGTTCATATTTTTTACAAATCATGCAATCATTTTTTAGGTACGAAATGCTAAATGTCAAAGTCAAAAGTCTTAATAATTATACTTAAACATTTTCGAGATTCACATAGCGAATATTACTATTTGAAATAGTATTTTCTTTTATGTAAATAATAAATTATAGCATTTAAATGATAAATATTATAAAGTGATTGTTAAAATCACGATTTTACTGTATGAAATAGTAATTTTTTCAGTTGATCATTACTCAGTGTATCAAATATTCAGAAAAAATTTCTCAAGGTGTAAAAATTATTTTTCTCAGCTCTAGGTGTCAAATGAGAAGATCAAATAATATTGAAGTATTTTACTTCATTCAATATGTATAATTGCCCGCTAAAATAATATAAAATGGGTATCAAATATTCAAGAGAAAAATTTTCTTAAGCTAAGAAAATTTTTTCCCCAGCTGTAGGTGGCGCTGCTTCCCTAAAATATCTAAAAATCTTGATCAAATACAAAAATTTATCAAATATTTATAATTAGAATTAAGAAAAAATTTCCACCAAGAATTTCTCGAAAAATTTTACTTCGGTCTTCCCCCAGACCCCCTAAAATTTTCTTAAGCCAAGAATTTTATTCCTCAGTCAAGAAATTTTTCTGTGCGGAAAACTAACTAATCCACTTAAATTCCTCCAAAAACAAGCCTCCAGAAAGAATATATAATCCACATAAAAGACAATTAAGAAGTAATAATTAAATACAGCTGAACAATTGAGAATCTTGAGATTAATGCAGCTGAGTAAAGCCAAAGAAGAACTCTTGGCAGGGGGGAAAGTCAATGTCACATGCCTTTAGTGGCCTTCGTGTTACCAGATATTAGACTATATCGTTTTGATAATGATAAACAGGCAATGCGCGTCCGGGTACTCACGTTTTTTTTTTCTTTTTCGTCGTTCGGCTTCTTCTCCCTCCGACCTTCTCATCTGCACCGGCTTGACTCCGTTCCCGCGGCGTCTCTTCACCACAGTCTCTTCTTCTTCTTCTTCTTCTTCTTCTTATTTTATTTTTCTTAAACTTCCAACCAACAACTTCTCTTAACGTTTCACAAACTATCTTTCTTCTTCACTCTCTCCTTACAATCTCCCTCTTTATTACTCTATCACACTATCTTCTTTTTGGCTTAACAAATTCCCGAGAGCGTCTCTCTTCTCCATGAGCACCACTTGAGTTTTAATTATATAAATATACATATACATATATATTATTCACTTGTTCACCAACATTGTACATTGCACTCCTGTCAACACATCTATAAAAATAACAATTACAATATTAATATCAATATCAATACTTAACAATTATAACATCAATAATAACAAAACAATTATAAAGATTTAGATAATTAATAATAGTTTATAATTTATAATAAATATTATTATTATTTTTTTTTAACAATAATAATTATGATTAAAATAATTATTTTTCAGATAGTAATAATAATAATAATAATAATAATTACACATGTACATGAGAGTGTCAAGTCCCCGAGTTTTGATCAAAACCACAATTTTCGTGACGTCATGCGGGCGCGGGCATGCGCAAACGTATTTCGGTGTTTTTCCATCTACCACACCGCGCGCGAGACACACTACTTTATATATATATATATATATATGCACATATATAATATATCTATACATATATACACGTCAATACATATATACACTCATATAAGCACTCTTTTTGGATATATGTCCATATAAATATATAAATGTACATAGACACTTTTTTTCATATTTTTTTTTCAGATGTACATTCAATTCAATTTAATTTATTATTGCAACTGAGTCCACTCGGACGGACCTACAGCACGTGTGATTATCTATTTATCAATAATATAATTGAAACATTTATTACACGCGCACAATTAAAATAATTTTTAATTAAGAGCAACAAATTTTCAACGTCTTAATTTTATTTTAATGCCCGGCATTATTTTATTTAATCATTAAAGATTTTTAAACTTGCACTTAGACTTACACTTGGCATTATCGCGTGAAAACGGTTAGGTCGTCCGCAGCAGCAGCAGATACCACCGAGGGCAATTTGCGAAAACCACAACCTAAGCCGACATCCATCCATCCACTCCCACTTGTTAAATGACGTACACTGACGTCATCGATAGTTTACCTTGAGGCATGACATTGAGCTCCAAAGCTGCCAATACACTACTGATAAATCACCAGGAGTTATTCTAACAAAATCAACCCGGTAAGTTTGTAATTTATTTTTTATAATTATTTAATAATTATTTACTTGGTTAAAACCTGTCAGTTTTTTTATTTCTGCGCGACAAGTTTAAAAATTTTTAAATTTAAAGATTTTTTTGGCGCCACCTTCTGGAATTTTGTTTAAATTAAAATGAGAAGAGGAATTGTTTTATGAGCAACGCGTGACATCATTTTGTAATGCAGGATTGTAAACATTACGTTACTAACACACTTAACTTTGAAATATGATCGATTAATATGTTTGTATAGAATGGTTCATTTTTTTTAATGTCTGATGTTTTTTTTTTTTTTTTTTTTTTTTTTTTTTAGCGTACAATGTGAAGGAAGGTGCTTCTTGTTGAAATTTTATGACAGTGAAGTTAGTAGAATATAAATAAAAAAAAAAAGAAATTTTTATGACACTAAAGTTGACAGAGATTAAAAATGTTTTTAGAATTTTATAGCAATTAAATTAATAAAAATTACAAGTGAAAATTTTTTATTATAATTGATTTGTTATTAAAATTTCATAAAATTGACAGCTGATAGCTAACTTCACTATTGTAAATTGTTGACGTGTAATTTATGAATGACAAATGACATTTAACAAAAACAATTGGAGCAATAAAAGTGTCATGAGTGGACCGACAAACTATTAAAAACTATTGTTTTTTTTGTAAATTAAAATGATAAGTTTTTTAAATTGCATAAATTATCTCGTAATTTAAATGTGAGTAATTATTTTATTTAATATTCAATGAATAGTTTTCGATAACTGTTATCATTATCATAAATTTGTATAAACACTGACACAGTTAATAATTAATAGGTTTTTTAATTATATTGTATTTTATTTTATCTATGCATGTGTATAAATTTGAATATTACTTTTATAAATATATAAGTGATATTAATTTGAATAATTATTTTAATTGTTTATTAAATGTCAGCAGATTTGTTTTATTAATTAAGGATGGCTTGTCTTGAAACTCAACCTCACCTCTACAGTAAATGGTGCAACAAATCACTGAAAGATAAATTTAAAATAGACAGCAAGCAGCAGGATCAGTCGACGGCGATGAGCAGCGCGGTACCTCCAGTAGAGTGTTGTGGACTCAGTGAAGGTCATAAAAAAGTATTAAATTTAAAAAATTTCATTAGTCAAGATCCTCAAGCCGCTGATTTCAAATGGTCGCTATTTGTTGCTGCTTGTCATACTTACAGACATAATACTTGTTTAAAACCATTTCCGCCGATGTACACTAAGAATGAATGCAAAGATATTGAAGCTTTGGTAAATTATTTTTTTTTTTTATTGAATTGTGGTTTATTTAAATTTCTTGGTCATTTATTATTATTATTATTATTTTTATTATTGTAGAGAGAAGCTATTGAAATAATTCCACCACTTGCTATTATGTTTGAACGTCTAGATGATCCAAAAGTGTATGATGAACATCAAGCAGCGATTGATTTGTTACATTGGGTGCTCATAGGTCTTCGTGATCCTAACATTAAATCTGTGAATAAAGATTCTGTAAGAAAGGACAATTATCTATATTATTAAGAGAATAAGAAAAATTTTGTGGCATTAGCCAAAATTTTGAAAAATATAAAGGTGTTGTGCATTTTCAAGGTTTCATATCATTCTCACCAATAGTTAATGTATGATGATAAGTAATTAGGCTGCATTCGAAAATGCTCTATCTCTAGATACATAATTAAGAAATGACCTTGTATCTTGTGAACTAATGACATTTTTAAAGATATAAGCTCATCCAAATGTTACACTCGTCGAGACCTTTCATTTGAGTACCCACATCAATTTTTCATATATATTCATATATATTAGATATATGTACATATGAAAAATAATAATAAAAATGCATGTGGGTAACTCAATTTTTTACCCAACCAAAATAAAGTTACGAGTTATTACAAAAAAACAGCTTTTTTTTTGTTAAATAATCATAACTTTTTTGAAAATTGACTTTTTGGGATGTTTTTTTTTTTTTTTTGAAATTTTTGTCTTTAAATGTACTTTAAAAAAAAATAAAAATAATAATTCGGATTCATATTCAATGTTTTTTTTTTTTAACTTTTTGGGAAAAAACGAAAATTTCGGGATGATTGATATTTTTGATTTTCGATTTTTCTTTTTTATAAAAAACTTCAGTATTTTTTTCAAATTCCCTGAAATTTTCAGAGTGGTCAAATTTTTCTTTCTATTTTTTTTTTAATGAAAAAAAAATTTTTTTTTAAATGTTTGTTTTTCGTTATACCACTCTGAAAAAAAATAGAAAGAAAAAGTTTACCACTCTGAAAATTTTAGGGAATTTGCAAAAAATACTGAAGTTTTTTATAAAAAGAAAAATCGAAAATCAAAAATGTCAATCATTCCGAAATTTTCGTTTTTTTCCAAAAAGTTAAAAAAAAAACATTGAATATGAATCCGAATTATTATTTTTATTTTTTTTTTTTTTTAAAGTACATTTAAAGACAAAAATTTTTAAAAAAAAAACATCCCAAAAAGTCAATTTTCAAAAAAGTTATGGTTATTTAACAAAAAAAAAGCTGTTTTTTTGTAATAACTCGTAACTTTTTTTTGGTTGGGTAAAAAAATTTGAAAAAATTCTGAAAATTGTTTTCAATAGGGTAGAGAAAGATACCAAAATTTCAGAAAAATCGAAAAGGGTCGGTGTCAAAAGTGGTCGATTTGGCATGAAATGCCCCATATATTATATATATATATATGTATATATGAAAAATATATGAACATACATGTGGGTACTCAAGTAAAAGCTCTTGATGAGTGTAACATCAGGATAAGCTTATATCTTTAAAAATGTCAATAGTTAAGAAAGTACAGTACAATTTAACATAATTAAGAAGTGATCTTGTATCTCGTGAACTATTGACATTTTTAAAGATATAAGCTCATCCCGATGTAGCACTCATCAAGACCTTTCATTTGAGTACCCACATCAATTTTTCATATATATATATATATATATATATATATGAACATGCATGTGGGTACTCAAGTAAAAGCTCTTGATGAGTGTAACATCGGAATGAGCTTGTTTCTTTCAAAACGTCAATAGTTAAGAAAGTACAGTGCAATTTAAAAAAAGTCATTATTTAATCTATTGCAGTTTGATTCGATTTTAAACAAAGTGCCCTCGCAGTTGACTGTGAAAAAACCAAATTTAATATTCCAATTAGTATATCCAAGTGAATCTTCCCGAGAAGAACGTTGGCAAAACGTTATGCGAGGAAATTCCACATTTCATGCGTACCATGGTAGTCGTTTGGATAATTTTCATTCCATTATTCACTATGGGATCCAGCAGCACATGAGCCAGGTACTTTTCTTTTTTAATTAATTTAATCATCATTAATAAATTTATTTATTTATTGGCAGAATGGATTATTTGGAAAGGGAATTTATCTCTCAAGCGAACTAGAAGTTAGTTTACACTGGGCTCATTCCGGATATGGATGGGGTGGCAGTATGTTAGGTAGAGAATTGAGCTGCGTTGCTCTCTGTGAGTTAGTTGATCATCCAGATGTCAAAAAAGGCGATACAGGTTGTTTTTAAAATGAAGAGTTTCTATAAGAGTTTTATATTTTTATTAATATTGATTGATTTTGCAGAAGAACCCAGTAATTCCTTGAAAATTGCCGTTGGAAAAAAAGTACCCAATAAGTATTACTTGGCGCTCAATAGTGATCTAGTTCGTATTCGCTACATTCTGGTCTACAGCAAAGATTTATGTGCAATAAGGTACATACTTATTATTAATTATTTATGAAATGTAGCTCATTTATTTTACAAATTTACTCCTTGAAATTTATTTGTTAAAAAATGAATAGTATTAAAAGAATTATTAATTTTAAAAACTAATTTATAAAATTACTAACTTCCTGTCAAAAAATCATTGCTGTGAAGATAAGAAAGAAGTTTAAAAATCGTAAAATTGACGATAAATTTTTATACTTTTTTTTATTGAGGAAGTTGTTTATTAAATGTAATAATGAAAAAATTTTTAAGCAGTAAATTTAGAAAAATAATTAAAGCTGTTGATATTTATTGTATTTAATATTGCTTAATTTTTAATTAATTTATTATTATTTTTCAGACATTCCGAAATAAATGGAGTTGTTGGCTGGTTTAAACAGAATAAACTCCTGACGCTTTTACTTGGTTACGTCGTACTTCTAGTCTCTGTGGGCTTAAGTCACAATAAAAATGTTGAAAGATACTATAAATTATTTATTAAAAAAATCGGATTTGATTGAATAAATTTATATATTTATAAATTAAATTTGCTCCATTATAAAAAAAAATTTTTTTTGAAACTTTTAAGTAATATTTCGTACATTTGATGTTTTGTAATTTACAAATAAAGTTTATGTTTATAAAATTAATTACTTTGTATTAAATAATTTTTTAATAGTGATTTAGTATTTTATAAAAATTTTTTATAATTATAAAATAAATTTAAATAAATGAATTCTTAAATAAGCAACAATAATTCTGATAATTTTTTTTAATATTTAAAAAAAAATTTCAAAATGTGAGAAGTCCCCCAAAGGCGCAAGTAACTAAAGATTAATTTTAAATAATTAAAAATTTTGAATTAAGTTTATAAATGCGTATATTTTACAATTAAAAAATAAAGTTTTCTAAATTTAATTATACATTTTTAATCAAAATAAATTTTTAGTGACGATTTAATAATATAGGAAAATTTTCCGTAACTAAATAATCATCTTCAAATATAACTATAAGATTTACTTCAAATTCTGTAAAAAAAAAAAAAAATTAAATTTTTTTTAAGTGTAAATTTTAAAATACTGAAGTTAATAAAGTCAAAATTTTTTTTTAACAAATCAATTACAATAAAAAAATGCTTCTAAAAATTTTTATTAATTTTCACAAGTGCAATTTTTTAATAAAACTTTTTTTTATAATAATTTAATTGCTATAAAATTCGAAAAAAATTTTGAATGTTTTTAAACTTCAGTGTCATTAAATTTTATTAATCAACAATGATATTTATAATTACCTATTTTAAAATTACTGGTATTCAATGTTGGACATGTAAATAGTCGTGGAAAAATCATGTAAATAGGAATAGGAATACCAGTACAAACATTTCCTTCTCCTATTTGAATATTTTGTATCTCTGTAGCTATAAAATAAGTATATTAAAATGACTATATTATCAAAAAATAAGTCATGTGAAATAAAAATTAAATTTACCATCTCTAGAGTAACCTTCAGCACATCCACAAGTCTCAACTCTCACCAATTGCAATTCAATTGATTTTATTAGAGCTGCAGTTTCCTCAATAATAACTTGACCAGTAAGTGGTTCAGATAATTTACAAATAACTTTATCAATCTGTCCCGAAATAATAAATTCAGGAACACTTGCTTTATCTCTAATATTTTGCAGCGACTCTGGTACTATTTTAAAAGTAACTGGTCTAACAGGCTCTTGTGGCTTTATTTCTTTACCTATCGGTGTTCTATCTTCGACCATAAACTCAAGTGATTTACTAACATCTTTGGCCAAAAAACTTCTTTTTATGTCACACTTTATTACATATTGAATATTAACAAACACTCCATGATACGTTTCGTATAAACTTTTTGACCCTCTAGGTTTGAGAGGCAATTCAAATGGAATTTCTGTTTTTCCATTAGGTATTTTGCCTGCTGGTGCTACGTCTATCGTATATTGTACTAATTGAATCGGCTGGAATTAATTTAATAGTTTAATTATAATCAGGATAAGTTTATATCTTCAAAAATGTCAATAATTAAAAGCTGACAATGCTATCTTGTCAACTAATGATCTTTTTAAAGATGTGAGCTAACCCCGACATTACACTCATCGAGACCTTTCATTTGAGTACCCACATCAATTTTTCATATATTTATATATATTATATATATGTATATATGAAAAATATATCAAAATGCATGTGGGTACTCAAATAAAAGCTCTTGATGAGTGTAACATCGGGATGAGCTTATATCTTTGAAAACGTCAACAGTTAAGAAAGTACAGTGCAATTTAACATAATTAAGAAACGACCTTGTATCTTGTGAAATATTGACATTTATAAAGATATAAGCTCATCCCGATGTGACACTCATCGAGACCTTTCATTTGAGTACTCACATCCATTTTCATATATTTTTCATATATAAAAACGTCAACAGTTAAGAAAGTACAGTGCAATTTAACATAATTAAGAAACGACCTTGTATCTTGTGAAATATTGACATTTATAAAGATATAAGCTCATCCCGATGTTACACTCATCGAGACCTTTCATTTGAGTACTCACATCAATTTTTCATATATTTTATATATTTATATACATCATATATATGTATATATATGAAAAATATATCAAAATGCATGTGGGTACTCAAATGAAAGCTCTTGATGAGTGTAACATCGGGATGAGCTTATATTTTAAAAATATATATTATATATATGTATATATGAAAAATATATCAAAAATGCATGTGGGTACTCAAATGAAAGCTCTTGATGAGTGTAACATCAGAATGAGCTTGTATCTTCAAAAACGTCAATAGTTAAAAAAGTACAGAGCAATTTAACAAAAGTCATAATTTAATAAAGCAAAATTTTATATATTAATAGTTTACAAGTCACGGCAGTCACATAGTGACTGCAAGTTTGCTAGTTATTATGATTTCTTTAATAAATTACGATAGGAAATATAGTTTTTTAAATTTTTTACATGTGAAATTTTTTTGGAGTAATTTTTTCAATAAAAAACAATTATAAAAATTTTTAGGTTGACTTATTTAATATTCATTAAATAAATACTAAAAGTTATCAAATGTCTGTTAATTTTACCATCATCTAATAAATATAAATATTTATTTTAATTGTTGTAATGGAGTTAAAGCAGTATTTTTTTCTTAAAAAAATTATTACCTTAACAGAGTTATAAAAAGCTTCAAAAATTCCAACATTTTTTGAACTCAATTGCAAATTAACTGAGCCTTCCATTGTAAGAAATATCCCATCATGTTTAATGTCAGAATTTGTTTGTAACAAAATTAATCCAGCAACTATTTCCTAGAAAAAAAAAAAAATAAACAAAATTAAATAATTTAACATATTAAATTAAAAAAAAATACTCACATTTTCATGATAAATTTTATTTGCCCTCTTCAATCTAATATCCACATTAATAGACATTTTTCTTATAATAATTATTTATCTCCTCATCTAAAATAAATTAAAACTGAAATTGAGACATCTGACAATTTTTATAAATTTTTTAACTAATATTTATTTATTTAAAAAATTCCATTTTTAGAAACTAAAAAATTACAAGTGCAATTTTTTATAAATAATTTTCTAAATCTAGTTTATTATTTAAAAAAAATTATCAAGTGTCTGTCAATTTCAATACCATAAAATAAACAACAATATAAACAACAAAATATTATTGTTATTATTATTATTATTATTATCAAATAATATTTGACAGCTTGGAGGTTAGGTCAAGAATTAGAACCGCCATTTTAATTCCCCGGAATATCAGCTGTCATTGGTTGTTTTTTGAGCGCTAAATTCAAACGGGTGGATAAAAAATGACACACAGCTGACTTAATAAAGTTTTCAGATGTTTACACAAATAAAAAAAAAAAAACATCAATTTTATAATCAGTAATATATATATTTTAATTAACATAAGAAGAAAAACAGACGTGAAGTGATTGTGCGCAAGCAGACCGGAATCAAATATAGAGGGCATTATTCTTTCCGGTGAGTTCATTCTCTCCCCTCTCAGCTGCTCGGTCAGCCATTCGCAGCCATAGCCAAACAAATTCAAATCGACAGAGTCGTTACAGGAGAACTTGGTACGTTGCCTCTGGCTTTGATATTGGCATTCCTCACTTCGGACGAAAAGGCTCCAAGTTAAAGAGAATTTTTATTAACAATTAATTCGACTTGATAAATAAATATATATATCACACTTTTAGTTAATTTATAATAAAGTGCAACAAGGAATTGACAATGGCATTGAGAAATCGCACTGCAATTACGGTAAGCATTTATAAAAATAAATAACGTGTGTGTGAGAGTGAGTGAGTTATAAAAACCGTTGCTGGCTATTGGGGATGGTGTAACCGTCACTCGTACTTTAAATCTCTCTCGGCATTTATTTTATCCAATATATACATAATTAATTAATAATTAATATATTTTTTGTATTATTAGACGTTATATTTATTTATATGCAACCACATGTGTTTGCCGGCATTTATATTTATCCTAAAATCTCAGGAAAATTACCAAGTTTGTAGAGACATTGTAATGGGCGTCTTGTTCTCCCTCATTTGTCTAAGACACGACTCTGGTTAAAAAAATTTAGCGGGAACATTTTCTTACAGAACTATTATCCTCATTTTTACCTTTTGTCCAGACAAGTTCACTTCTTTTCTTCCGACCCTAATTTTATTTCGTTCTTTGCTTAATCCTACTTTCGTATTATTTTGCTAATTATTATTTGCTAATAATTACCCATCATTCTTAAATACTAGTAATTTATGGTTCCAAGAATGTAAGCTGAATTTTTTTTTTCTTTTTTTTTTTTTTTTATAGATGAGTTTATCTACGTACTAATTTTATAGCAGTAAAATTTATTCAGGTTACTTTAAAATTTCTTAAGTCATTGAATAATAATTAAAAATTTATTTAGGGTATAAAAATTATCTCTTGCTTATATTTAAGTATCATATTTTTATTTTTGTTTATTTTGTTACTGTCACCACATTATAGTCAATAAAAATAAATTTTTAGAATTTTAATTATTTTGTAAACAAATAAATTATGGCAAAAAAAAAAAAATGAAAAAAATTTAATTGAAATTTTTTGGAACAAATTTGTTTGTTAAATAAAATTAACAAATGGTCAAGCGATTGCTAGCTTTAATTCAATTTATTCAATTATTTATGACACTGAAATCAACAGAAATTTCACTTTTTTAAAAAATTGCATTTTTATGGTTTTACACTTTCTACAAGTGGAAATTTTTTCTAATTTTTTTATTACTAAAATTTATTCGTTTTAAAATTCTAAAAAATTATCAAATGTTTCTCAATTTCAGAATCATAATTATTTGATTTAAGATCTAAAATTTTTACCGAAAATATTAGTTTTATAAAAAAAGTTTTTTGAAAAAAAAAAAAAATTGTTAAAAATTTTAAGTTATTAAAAAAAAAGTGTCTTATAATTTTTTCTAAAATCAATAAAAAGCCGCAATTTCAATTAATTAATTATAAAAATCAGGATTTTGAAATTGCAGCTTTTTTTTATTGGTTTTAAAAAAAATTACAAGACATTTTTTTAATAAAAATTAAATTTTAAATAACTTTTATTAAAAATTTTTTTATAAATTTAATTTTTTCGCCGCAATTAATTATTAAAATTGTTGTTTTAAAGTTATGGCAAAAATCCTGACCATAATAATTATTATTATTTATTTAACCAGAAAATCAATATATAATTAAAAATAATAATAATTGAAAAAAAAAAACATAAATGACTTTTTGTTTGTCTTGAATAGAATATAAACCAAGAAAATGTTAAGAATGGTAAGTCAACGACGACGGTCACGGGGATGACGAGACGAGCGGCGTTGGGGGAGATCGGAAATCGTGTGACTGTACGCTCGACGGTAACGTCAACAAAGGTTGGTGCATTGCCTCAGAAACCAGGGGTAAAGAAACCAGTAGCAACCACCCGTCAGGCGGGAGTGGTAAAGCCGGTGTTGAAAGCCCAGGAGAAGCTCCCGGTGCAAATAGTCAAGCCAGTTGTTAAAGAAGTAGAGGAAATAAAAGAGATTGTGCCGGAGTTGGACATTAAAGTTGAAAAACCTGTCCAGCCGATTGTAATCGACGACTACAAAACTACCACTACATCTGCTGGGGATTGTGATGCATTCTCGTCGGACTTACTTCAGGTTGAGGACATCGATGAGATTGACAAAAACAATCCGATTCTAGTCACCATCTACAGCAATGATATCTACTGTTACTTGAGAAAATTGGAGGCTCAGTATCCAATTCACCGAGGGTACTTGGCTGGTCAGGAAGTTACCGAGAAAATGAGGAGTGTTTTGATCGATTGGTTGGTTGAAGTGCACCAGCAATTCCGTTTGTTACAAGAAACTCTTTATCTTACCGTTGCAATTATTGATCGTTTCTTACAGGTGATTTTATTTATTATTAATTAATGTTATTATCAATATAATTAATGTTAATAATTAATATTGATATTATTAATTAATATTAATATTAATAATTAATATTGTTACTGAGAAAAAAAATTTCTTTTAGAAAAAAAAAAAATTGATAGTTTTGTGACAAAAAAATTAATTTGTTGAAAATTTTCATTAATTTTATTTCTTAGCTGAAGAAATCAAAACTTCTCTATCAGTAACTTTTTTGTTGAAAAAAAAAATTAACTAGATTTAGAAAAAAAAAATTTTGGATGAAAGTTCTCAACTTGTTTATCTAAAATTGTTTTTTTCCAAATCTAGAAAATTTTCTTCCAACAAAAAATTTACTATGAAAAAATTTTTGATTTTTTTTAAATAAAAAAAACATTTTTTTTCTCAATGTAGAGCTTGTTATAATAAAAAAACTAAAATTTATTTACTTTGGGAATTACAGTCAGTCAGAACGATAACCAGAAAGAAGTTACAACTTGTTGGGGTAGCTGCAATGTACATTGCGTGCAAATACGAAGAGATGTACGCACCAGACATAAGTGACTTTGTGTACATAACGGACAATGCCTACACAAAAACGGAAATAATCCACATGGAGATGCTGATAGTACGGACGTTGGATTACTCATTTGGAAGACCACTGCCGCTTCATTTCTTGCGGAGATACAGCAAAGTAGGACACGCTACGTCTGTTCACCACACAATGGCTAAATACTTTTTGGAGCAATGTCTAATTTCTTACGAAATGTGCCATTACCCACCGAGCTTAGTTGCCGCAGCAGCCATGTACTTGGCCTTCTTTGTCATCGGGAACGACTCTGAAGATGAGGGCAAGGTTATTTGGACTCCAACTCTCGTGCACTACAGCACCTACACCAAGGATGACATTCTGCCGGTCGTGCGCCAAGTAGCAGCTATTATTGTTAACGCTGACAAAAACAAGTACCAGGCTGTGAGAAAGAAGTACAATCACTCTAAGAACATGAGAATAAGCTTACGTCCTGAGCTAAAGTCTCCCAGCATGCTCAATTTGGTCAATTCACAAAATTAGATATCATTTTTATTGGTTAATTTTAAATCACAACTTTCATTGCTATTATTATGATTAATAATTATCTAGTACTTTTTGATCAAGCGTCTGAGAATTTTTTTAGCAATTTATTTATTTATTATAATTATAGATGTGATTTTATGAGCTTATATTAGCTCAAGTATCAAATTTTATTAAATCATATTAATAAATTGCTGACTAATTAATTAATAATTATTAAATTAATCAATTATTAATTATTATTATATCAATTCAAAATTCTCAGATGATAAATAGTTAAAGTAAATAATATGATATTTTGATTAATTTTGTAATAGATAAATTATAATTTTTTTTTAGTAAGACTTAGTAATGTGTGAGTGGGTTTGAGTCAATGACACGTCATTATAAGTTGCTGAAAGTTTGATTTATTTTTTTTTAACTGGATGCAATAAAACTTAATCTGAGGATGATGCGAACACCGCGGTCTGTCAATTTTTTTTTTTTTTTTTATTAAACAAATAAAAATATTTTAACTTTACGAGATAACTGAATATTAAATTAATGATGCCATTTTTTATTTTTTTAATCAAATTAATTTGACTGATTAAAAAAATAATTATTTCGTACCGGTAGTTCTCGTGCATTTACTAATATATATATATTATGAACTTTGATAAGCGTATTTTTATTCCCGACTTTAAAAAAAAAAATAAATAAATTTTAATTTTAAAACAAGCTTATTATTATTATTATTATTATTATTATTATTATTATTATACATATATATTATTACTATTATATTTCTGAAAATACGTATATCAATAATTATAATAATAATCTTTTTTTTTTTTTTTTTTTTTAGATGACACTATTAATTTTCTTGTAATTTAAGACTCTATTGATGCATCTTATATATCTCTACACTTAATCAATAATTATAATAATAATCGTTTTTTTTTTTTTTTAGATGACACTATTAATTTTCTTGTAATTTAAGACTCTATTGATGCATCTTATATATCTCTACACTTATTTTTACTTATATTTACCTATATATTTTTTATCTCAAAATGATTTTCAAAATCTCTTGCATGTAGATCAATAAGTATAAAAATTAATAAAACCACATTTCTTGTATGTAAATATTATTTCTTTGAAAAACTGTTTTAAATTCTCGCATAAGAATTTAAAAATAAGTTCACGTTTAAGGCATGCAAAAAAAAACCTGTTCGCGAGTTTGGATGAAATATATAAATTGACTAATATGAATGATTTAAATATATGGCTGGCAATGTATTGTAATATATTAACTATTATCTATTAAATAAATAAAAATAAAAGATATAAAAATTAGAGGGTAAATTAATTGTCAGACAAAAGACATGTAAATAAAATAACAAGACCGATAATAATTGTTTTATTAAAAACCATTTTCACCAAATTCAGCTTAATAAATAGGTAGAAGTACCGATTTTGGACATCTTAGGATCATTTTTGGTCACTTTACAATTTAGTTCAATTTGTAAAAAATTTAACTAAGGTAAAAAACTCAATTATTGACACTTGCAATTTTAATTTAAAAAAAAAAAAAGCCAACTTCAATAAATTAATAAATACAATTTTTGCATTAAAAATTTCTTAAATAATTGGTTTTTTGAGAACATTTTAATAAAAAAAAAAAAATCATTCAATTGAAAGAAAAAAAAACATTAACAAAAAGCCAACTTCGATAAATTAATAAATACAATTTGTTCATTATAAATTTTTAAATAGATTTTTTAAGAACATTTTATTTTTTTAATTAGAATAACATTGCGAGTTGCAAACAACTGGGCCAGTGTCAGTAACTGGGTCTTTTACCTTATCCAAATAGAATTTATAAATTACTCTATTTATACTCATTGAATTCACAGTCTTGCGCTTATAAAAATATTTATCCAATATTTTAAAAATAAAGTAGCCAAAAAAGGGTCCACTGTCCTCAAACAGTACTTCTACCCCCTAAAAAATATCTAAGTTAAATTTTTATAAGACTGTGGAAACAAATCAAGCGACCACTGGCTGGATCCCGCTTCTGGAGGATAAGTGAACTTAGCTTCCAACAAACAACTCTGCAATTTATTCGGATCATTATCATCATCAGCCACCTTGACCCAAATCTCATGCTTGCTCTTCTCAATAAGTCCCAGCAAATCCTTCAGCGCATTCTGCAACTTCTCCGCGAGCTCATCAAAGAAGAACTGCAGAAGAACTCTATTAACCGCTTGAACCTCTTCACGTTGCAAGTAAGTATTCGTAATAATAACATGAAGCGCTCGAATTAACCCAAGATCTTCATAAGCGCTTCCTTCTTTGATATCCAAGACCTTCCTCTCATGCTTGCGTTTATTTTTCCCGGACCTGTAGCTTCTTCCTGAACTCCTTGAGCTCCTGGAACTGCCACTTGCAGCAGATCCAGCCACACTGCTGGTCTCGCTGAGCAAATCGCTGAAGTCTCTCCCCGCATTTCCGCGCTCTTCCTCCAGAGCTTCAAGCATAAGCGCCTGCTTTTTCGCCTTTTCCTTCCTCACGATCATCAATCGTCGCTTGTGCTTCAAAAAATCCTCCTTATTTTTGTTAATTCTAAAATAAATCTCTATTGCATGCTCATGAGAGCCGGGCTGGACATGTGTCTCAATCAAATCAAGCCTTTTAAACGAGTGAGCAATTCTCAATGCGTCTCTCCACTCTTTACCTTCGCTCAAAAGTGACACAGCTTCTTCAACATGGTTTAGGTATGTCAGACATATCTCAGCTGCCTCGCGGAACCTCTTGTCCTCGCGCAGCTGCGTGACAAGATCTTGGTAGAGAACATTTAGCTCCCCAGGACTCATCTTCATTTTAGTGGACACTATAATGGCGTCTTGCCAACTACCAGCTGTCTTGTGGACCTGCAAAGCGCGCTCCAACTCTCCGCTTCGTTGGAACATCAACCCAGCTTCGCGGTACCGTTTATTTCTCATCAAATTTTCTGCATAAATTCTCGCAATTTCCTTGTACTCCTTTCCATCCTTCGGAAACAATTTAATTGCCTTTGCAAAGAGATCGTAATTACAAATTAAATCAATACACTCGTCAAATTTATCCAAACGCTTCGCAATATTATCTAACGCAGACTCGTATCGCTTTAGATCTTTATCAATTTTAAACTTGCGATAATTTTCTTCTAAATTAGCAAGCCCGTTTAAATACGGTAAATATTCTTTGGGGTCTTTAAAAGATTTAGAAGCTACGAATTTAGCCAGCTCGAGGTCATACATTCCTAGAGCAATGTCGTAGAGCACTTCAACGTCTACTAGGTACAGTAGATATTTTAAAGCTTCTTCTGCAGATTGGCGAGAAGAAGAAGAAGTTCCTTCTTTGGACCTAAACTCCTTAATTTTACGCAAAGCTGCTTCTAATCCTGGAGTGTGCTTGTTTTTTACAAGACAGGTTAAAATTGGCTGGATAAGATTGCGAGTCTCGGATTTTTTTTCCATAATGCTTCTTAATAACTGGCAAATTTTCTCGACTTTTCCTTCCTCTGGAATGTCGAATTCAGATTTTCTCGACTCGTTTTCTTGGTCAGTGTAACAAGAACTGTATAGCGTTTCTGTGACGTCTTCCTCATGGAGCTCGGAGATAAAAAGGTTCAGCCAGCAGGGGTTTTTTATTTCGTCGATAAATTTTTCAGCGTTTTCTACGAACATTCGAGGGTTGTGATCGTAAATCAGGTTCAGGTTTATTCGCTGTTTGCGCATTATGTCGAATGCCGTGAAGTAATTAAGGCAGCTTAAGTGGCTTTTTATTATGTGTAAGTTTAAAGGTCGCGGTTGGATGGTTTCTAAATTTCCGCGTTTCATTTGGAGAATCGCACGCGAGTCTCCGGGAATTGCCATTATTAAACTTGAGGTTCGCTCTAGTCGTCTCATACTCAAACCTAAAAATTATAAAGGAATAAATAAAATTTACATTAATTTATTTAATCTATGTTATTAAGAGAATAAGAAAAATTTTGTTTCCAAAATTCTCTATCTCTAGATACATAATTAAGAAATGACCTTGTATCTTGTGAACTATTGACATTTTTAAAGATATAAGCTCATCCTGATGTTACACTCATTGAGACCTTTTATTTGAGTACCCACATCAATTTTTCATATATTTATATATATTATATATATGTATATATGAAAAATATATCAAAATGCATGTGGGTACTCAAATAAAAGCTCTTGATGAGTATAACATCGGGATGAGCTTATATCTTTAAAAATATCAATAGTTAAGAAAGTACAATTTAACATAATTAAAAAACAATCTTGTTTCTTGTGAACTATTGACATTTTTTAAGATATAAGCTCATCCTGATGTTACACACATCAAGAGCTTCCATTTGAGTACCTACATGCATTTTTAATATATTTTTCATATATACATATATAAAATATATGAAAAATTGAAGTGGGTACTCAAATGAAAGGTCTCGACGAGTGAAAGGTCTTGATGAGTGTATCATCGGGATGAGCTTATATCTTTAAAAATATCAATAGTTAAGAAAGTACAATTTAACATAATTAAAAAACAATCTTGTTTCTTGTGAACTATTGACATTTTTTAAGATATAAGCTCATCCCGATGTTGCACTCATTGAGACCTTTCATTTGAGTATCCACATCAATTTTTTCATATATTTTATATATTTATATATATGAATATATGAAAAATATATCAAAATGACATGTGGATACATCAAATGAAAGCTCATTGATGATGTGTAACATCGGGATGAGCTTATATCTTTAAAAACGTCAATAGTTAAAAAAGTACAGTGCAATTTAACAAAAGCCATTATTTAATAAAGCAAAATTTTATTTATTTATAGTTCGCAAGTCACGGAAGTTACATAGTGACTGCAAGGTTGCTAGTTATAAATTTAAAAAAATTAGAAATTTAACCACGGTCAATATTTAATTATAAAAAAATGATTGATAATTTAATTAGACAGTACAAAAATATTTTTAAACCTTATTATATATATTCTATATCCATATCTTTAAATAGTTTATCATAAAAGAAGATATTTATTTATTTAACAATATTCCTATAAAATTGATTTAGTAAATTGAGAAAAAAAATAATTAGTAAATAAATTTGAATACATTATTTAGAATAAATAAAATAAAACAAAACATGTAGTATTTTTTAAAATCATTTAAGATAAATTTTAAGAATTTGATATGAATTTCTATAATTAATTAATTTATTTGTATGTAAGCTTTGATAAAAAAAAATAACTCAAACTATATTGATAAAAAAAAAAGTAATAAATATTAAAAATAATTTACCTCCAGTAGTATGTTCAGTTTGTCCAGTTCCCCATGACTTGAGAGACAAATTAGACATGGAAAGTTTACTAAATCCATCAGCATTCATGACGACACAAACCAACGCGTGTTGCAGAGTCGTAAGTAAAAGAAAATCCGAGTGAATGCAAATACTGTTGATGTTGTTAGCGACTTCTGTGCCGTCAACATACAGACGGTTTGTACAACCAAGCATGACGATGACATGACGTTTCTCGATCTCCACGACCTCCACTTGATCACAAGATTCCGGGATAATTATTTCTGTCGGCACAGCACCTTCGCCGTGAATGTATTTTAGCACTTGATTGCCCACCACCAGGTAAGCTGTGTCATTCACGTCACCTGGCGATGCCACGATGTGCTGGATGTGTTCGTGCATCATCAATGCCTCTCTGTTGTAAATCAGATCCAAATCAACATCAGTTTTAATAAATTGCTATGCCAATTAGCTGCCCCACTCATGTGTGCATCACTTGTAATATTTATATTAAAACAACTATCAAAATTTTGACTTCTTACCTAATTATTATCCGCCCATCATCTTGATCTTTATGAACGTTTACTAATTCAAGAACGCATAAATAACAATGATCTCCGTGTGAAAATGAACACAACATTGTATTGTCTTTCAGCCATAGAAAATGATGTAGTGAATAATTTATTTCTTCTATTTTCAATTCTAGGGGTGCAGCTTCTTCATCCCATTCAATTTTGTATGATCTAACATATTGGTACTCGAGCGGAAACTCGTCCTGTAAAATTTATGATGAGTAAATAAATTTATTAAAAATTATATTGAAGCAGACATCTGACAATTTTTATAAAAAATCAATAATGATAAAAAATATTTTTTTTTTTTATTTTTACAGGTGGAATTTTTTTATAAATTTTTGTTAAATTGCACTGTACTTTCTTAGCTATTGACATTTTTAAAGATATAAGCTCATCCCGATGTTACACTCATCAAGAGCTTTCATTTGAGTACCCACATGCATTTTTGATATATTTTTCATATATACATATAGATAATATATATAAATATATGAAAAATTGATGTGGGTACTCAAATGAAAGGTCTTGATGAGTGAAACATCGGGATGGGCTTATATCTTTAAAAATGTCAATATTTCAGAAGATACAAGGTCGTTTCTTAATTATGTTAAATTGCACTGTACTTTTTTAACTATTGATATTTTTTAAGATATAAGCTCATCTCGATGTTGCACTCACCAAGAGCTTTCATTTGAGTACTCACATGCATTTTTAATATATTTTTCATATATACATATATATAATATATATAAATATATGAAAAAATTATGTGGGTACTTAAATGAAAGGTCTTGATGAGTGTAACATCGGGATGAGCTTATATCTTTAAAAATGTCAATAGTTCACAAAATATAAGGTCATTTCCTAATTATGGATCTAGAGATAGAGCATTTTCGAATGCAGCCTAAATACTTATTACCATAAATTGACTATTGGTCAAAATGATATGAAACTTTGAAAAGACACAACTCCAGGTCAAGACTTTTCCAACGATACCAAATTTATCCATAAAAAAATATTTATTATTTTTTTTTCTTTTAGTAGAAAATTTATAACTTTTAAAAATGTTAAATATTTAAAAAAAATTGTCAAATAAAATTTGCATTTATAATTTAAAAATTATTTTATATCTGCTAAATTTAACATTAATTTTTTTTTCTCTATAAAAATCTCCAAGTATTACTCAGTATTAATAAAAAAAATAACCAATAATAATAATAATAATAATAATAATCAAATTAATAAATAAAAAATAAACAGTAAGATATAAATTAATAATGTGTTAAATTCTCACCCGAATAAACAAACATAGCGCCAGTTTATTATTTTGTAACAGCAAGAAAAATGAATTGGAATCAATCCAAGAGTCAGTGTCACTGTCATTATGACAAGAGTAAGCAAAGATACATTCATTAATAGCGCAATCAACTTCCACAGACTTGTGGGACATGGGTGGTGGCACGATGCCCACTCTGAACCCAGTTACCAATAGTTTGTCACCGTCAATAACACCGACGACACTTTTATCGGTGTCGCTCATCCCGCGGCTGTGATTAATCGTCCACCTGAACGAGTAAATCACACACTTAAGCCTCGTCATCGTTATTAAGCGTTTGCGAGCACGTGGTGCCGAGCTCCAGGTGTAGTAAATCAGCGGATCATCATCACTGAAGCCAATGCTCTGCTTCAAGTACCAATGGTAATTATTAACCGTCCACAATTGTAGGTACTGGTTGCAAGAACCATCAGGAATCAAACTCTTGCATTCTACCACGAGAATCTCCGAGTCTGGACTCCAGAGTAGACTTTTAACGTCAACTTCCGTAGGGCTGAACGGCAGAGTGAACTCTCGATGCTTGAGTCCATTTTTTTCAAACAAACCCACCACGTATTTATCCTCCAGCCTCTGCGTCGCTGCAATGTAATTTCCTGACGGCTTCCAGGCAATAAATTCCTCCAGCCTGTGAGTCAGCTCGCTCGTGTACTGAAGCACTCCCTCCCGGTTGAAGATTTTGAATAATCTCACGTCGACTTTCTCGTGAAAAAAACTCACTGCGAATAAAGTTCCGTCTCCTCGCCAAGTTATAGATGATTTTTTGGTGTCTTTATCAGTCTTGCCGATGATAAGAGCTTTGGCTACAGCCGCAGCCTTACCTTCAGACCCATGAAATTGAGTTTCTTTCTTCCCCCACCCTACAGTTACAAACTGCTTGTCTCCAAACTCCTCAGCAGTCAAATCTGCTTCTGACATCACTTGCAAACTGGAGATCATGGTATAAACTTGGTGAGTCTTGGTCACCAAAACGAGAATTTCTTGGTCCGGACTGAGTTGTATGCACTCTATACCGCCGTCGATATGAGCAGCGACTTGGTGGTCAAAAGGCTCATTGGGAGATACTTTTATCAGGTCACCGTTGTCGTAAGCGCAGTAAAGAGTCTCGTTGTCACTCCAGTATTGGATTCCAACTGGCTTAGCTTCAGTGTTGTCATTAATACCTGTTTTTTTGAGTACTTCAAATCCCATTTCATTTTTACAGATTAAATAAATATTATTTGCATCCACTACAAATAAATTGTCATTTATTGGGTCCAAGCAGCAACTAACGTTGTCAGGTAGTCCTGAAGGAATAAACTGGTCCCGTAAGTCAGCAATGACATGACTGCTAACTGTCAAGTTCCTCATTATTGTTTCACAAGTTTTTTTTTGGGTGATAATTATTTTTCAGCTACTGACTGAAAAAAATTAATTTTATTGTTTATTGTTTTAATTATTTTCAATAAAATAAATAATTATCCTAATATCATTATTCTTTGGATCTTAGTGAGATAAAACATGAAAATTAATTTAGCAGATATTTAATAATTTTTAGAACTTTTTTTAACAAATCAATGATGGCAAAAAAAATTGACATGTAGAAATTAAAAAAAATTAAAAATTCAATTTTTTAGAATTAATTTAATTGTTAAATAAAATTAAAAATTTATCAAATGACAGCTAACTTTAATGTCATAGATAAAATTTAATTGTCACTTGAAAATTTTTTTATTTTCTTTAACAAAAAAAATTGTTCCAAAAAATTATTTTTAAAAAATTATAATACTGAAGTTAGCTGACAGCTGTCAATTTTTTAATTTTTTATAACAAATCAATTACAGTAATAAAAATACTTTTGAAATATTTCACTAATATCTTTTCTTCATTTTCACATGTGGAATTTTTTTATTAAATTTTTTTCATAATAATTTCATTGCTATAAAATTGTAATAACATTTCTAATGTCTGTCAACTTCAGTATCATAAAAAATTGAATTTTTAATTTATTAAAATTTCTACATGTCAGTTTTTTTTGCAATAATTTATTTATTAAAAAAATTCTTAAAATTCTTAAATATCTGCTGAATTTTCTTTGGATCTTACCGTAAAAAATATTTTTTTGTTTTATTTACATAAATAGGTTACAAAGCCATTAATATATCAAAACACGCTGCACGTGGAGGTTGGTAAAAAAGAAATTTATAAATATACCGCCGCCACTAGCGCCAAAACGGCTGATTGAAGAAATAAAAAAAATCACCTTTCATCCTTCATCTCTGTTTCCTCTAGATTATTTTTTTACCAAAAAACTAGACCGAGTTTTCATTTAATTAAAGACTGAGAGGGAAGACAGAACTAAAATTCAGTATAGACATCTAATAAAGTTTACAGGATGATAGTTTGTTGCAGTGAATAAATAAAGTTAAAAAATAGTTCTATTTTTCGGTTATAAATTTTAATATTTTCATTAAAAATTTATCTAATATATCTAGTCGTAACAATGGCAACTGCAGTTGATGAACAAATTTCTGTTGACTTACCCGACGATAAAGAACATCTGTAAGTAATAAATTATATTTATAATTATATTAATCAGTTAAAATTATTAATAATTATAAAATCTACCTATGACTTACCAACGTCTAATTATATTTTTACATAATGCTATTATGAAAATTAATTTAGCAGATATTTTATAATTTTAAGAATTTTTGTAACAAGTAAATTATGTCAAAAAAAAATTGTCATAGAGAAATTTAAAAATAATTTTTTTGAACAAATTTATTACAAAATTTTTAATTGACAATTTTATTTATTTTAGAATGGAGCCAGTGACATACAATTGGGTGGACATCACCTCTGAATTTTTCGATGCCATAAAAAGTAAGTAAAAAAATTTATTTATTGGCAGCAAATTTATTTACTAATAAAAAATTTTTAAACAGGTTTAGAACTAGGCGAGCTTTTGCACGACGATTTATTCGGATTATTCGAAGCAATGTCAGCGATTGAAATAATGGATCAAATAATATTGAATAATTTTTTTTCATTAAATATGTATAATTGCACGCTAAAATAATATAAATTGGATATCAAATATTCAAGAGAAAAATTTAGCGCTGCTCCCTAAAGTATCTAAAAATCTTGATCAAATATAAAAATTTATTGTATCAAGTATTGATGATAGAATTAAGAAAAAATTACTTCCAGCAAGAATAGAATTTCAAGAAAAATTTTCACATCGGCCAACACAACTTCGGTCTTCCTTCCAGCCCGAAAATTGCCTTGAGCCAAAAATTTTGTTCTCCATTCAAGAAATTTTCTTTTAATAGTCTTCTTAAATTAAGAAAATTTATTCTTTTTTTTTTTTTTTAATAGTCTTCAGTGAAATAAAAATTTTTTTGAGGTAAAAAAATTCTTTTAAAAATTATAGTCTTCTTGAATTAAGAAAATTCAGCTAAAGTAGGTAGCGCTGCTCCCTAAAGTATCTAAAAATCTTGATCAAATATAAAAATTATATTTGATCAAGATTTTGAAAATTTTCTTGAGCCAAGAATTTTGTTCTCCAGTCAAGAAATTTTTCTTTCTGTGTTTAAACAAGAAAGTATATACTTATTAATCCAGAAGAAATTGTTCTTACTTCCAGATTTTTTATGAATAAACATTTCTTCTTCATTTTTAGAGATTTGAATAATCATAAATAATTTTAATATTAAATAACCTATGAATTATTAAAAGTTACCATTAAAAACGATAAAATATTAAGAACTTTTATAAAATATAAATTGATTTCCATTAGCTTGAGCAGATATGATAAAAAATGGATATAAAAATAAGTATTTTTATAAAATATATAAATACTGATGGATTCATTTGCTTCAGTATTTTACATAATTTAAATAAATAATTATTTATGTAATATTAATAATAACAATTATTATTATTATTATTATTCATTAAAGAGGATTTAATATTTTTTTTTTTAAGCCAACTTAAACTTAAAATCACTGATCTTAGTAATAATCTAAAATAATAATAATAATTTTTATAATATAAAGTCATGAATAAAAAAATCTCAAAGTTTCAATCTATCGTTCTGAATTGTAAAAAATGGAGGCTTGATCCTTCGGTAAGACATATCTAAATAGACACATTGTATTAGAGATTCTGTCAAGACATGTCTCTTAAAACTAACCCTGAAGACGCTAAATGCAGGTGTTCACGTCGGCTTGTAGTCGTTGGACTTTTGGACTTGAATAACGCGAGAAGCGAGTTCGTCAGCAGATCAAAGATTCACGCCGCATTCTTGTCTTCTTTCTATACATAATAATACTAATAAAAAATATATATATATATTCTCTCGCCTACTATATACTACCTTATCTCAACTTCTTACTCTTTTTATACTTAATATATATTCTTATTATATTAAATTCTTTATTCTCGATTTGTGTTGCCTCTCAAAAGATGAAAATAAAATCGTTTTCAAACACCACTACGTCAACTGACTTTCATTCTGACATATCACTGAAAATATATAATATGTATAATACAGTAATTTTTTATTTAAATAACTGTCAACGTCAAACTGTTGCTCGGAATTAATACATAGCTTGAATTGAATACTCCTCTTATTTCCTCTCTTTATTGTAAATTTTCAACTTCAACAGACCCAGATACGTCAAACGTTGAATATTAATTCCTCATATAACATGGAGATTACATTAACATCTGATTTTTATTACTTTCTACATCATGTGCAGAATATTGATAATGATGATGATGATGATGATGATAATGAAGAAGAAAAAATACATAAACATTTGTATTAATGTGGGAGTAGGCTCGCAGACTTGCGCGGATGAGTCGTATTGATCCTGAAAGCCTTCCCAGGCAGGCTCACACCCTTTAAATATGCCATTGGAGTAACAAGTCAAGATTCAAAATGTCCTGACTCTGTTCCGGGAAGTTTTTTAATCCTATAAATTATATTATACTAAATAAATACATATATATCTCAAATCATTTAGAAAAAAAAAATTTTCTTAATTCAAGAAGACTATACTATATTTTTAAAAGAATTTTCTTACCTCAAAAAAATTTTTATTTCACTGAAGACTATTAGAAAAAAAAAAAAATAAATTTTCTTACTTTAAGAAGACTATTAAAAGAAAATTTCTTGAATGGAGAACAAAATTTTTGGCTCAAGAAAATTTGTCGGGCTGGAAGAAAGACCGAAGTGGTGTTGGCTGAAGTAAAAATTTTTCGAGAAATTCTATCATAAATACTTGATACAATAAATTTTTATATTTGATCAAGATTTTTAGATACTTTAGGGAAGCAGTTTGAGAAAATTTTTCTCTTGAATATTTGATACCCATTTTATATTATTTTAGCGTGCAATTAAACATATTGAATGAAAAAAAATAATGAAATATTATTTGATCTTCCCATTTGATTTGTTAATAAATAAAAATATTAATAAAAATTTACTTCTATCAAGCACTAAATTTTTTGGAGCAAGAGGCTGAATTTTCTCAAAACAAGATTTTCTTGACTTAAATAAATTTTCTTGGATCAAGATACGTATTTCTAAGCAAGAGAATTAATTTTGTTGGAATAAGTGAAATTTCTTGTCAAAAAAAATTTTTTTTTCGCTCAAAATAATAATAAGGAAGAAAAATATTTTCTTGGCTCAAATGAACCTTTTTTTCTGTGTACAATTATTTTTGACAGAATTTTCTTACTTCAAAAAAAATTTTTATCTTACTGAAGACTATGTAGCTTAAAAGACATTCTAGGATAAATTTATCATCATTACTTGCTCCATAATATAATAAATACATATACTTTATATTTGTTATATAAATTTCCACCATAATATAAATAAATAAGACAAAGTGAACCAAAAAAAACACTATTAAATTTTATTCAGAAGCTCAGCCACCTTATTTTAAAAGAACAAAATATCATCAGCAAGTTAAACATCGTGTTAACCAGTTTTAGGCTGCTTCTAAACAACAATTAGGACTCTTGACATTAGAATAAAAGTGGAAAAAATGAAGATGAGAGGCCTGTAGATAATAGCCTGTAGCCCTGACGAATAAGATATCGAAGATGATGATGAGAAATAGGAATTCGAAGAAATATATCCAACATTCGTAGCCTTCATCATTGTCGATAATAAATAGAGACAGAAAATATAATAACACGGATAGAGTTGTGAGGAAGAGTGAAGAAAAGAAAAGTATCCAGATATATATGTATTATATATATATAAAGAGAGAATGGACAAGATGAGGAGAGTACAGGAGGGGTTGAAGAGAGGTGGTTGATGGGGAGAAGCTTTTAGCCCGGCTAGATGGTGC